TATATATATATATATATATATATATATATATATATATATATATTTCCTTACTTTAATTGAAGCTTGAAGTCGATGATGCTATTGTTGTTTGGGAGATGAGTAAGGACAAGGAGGTCCACGTGCAGGGACGATCATTGTCCATCCCCATAAAACTATTGTGCAAACCTAACATGATTCAGAGACATTGTTTCCTGCAATTTCCTTAATAAATAAAAAATAATGATATTTAATTGAGTAGTAATTTAGATTTTGACCAGGCTGAATTATTTAGGAGAATATCGCTGAAATCTAAGGAAAGAAAGAAAACCCTTTTTACCTGAAAGAAACAAAGGATTCCGAACAGAGATCCATGACAGATGTATGGATTGGCAGGTTCGTGTCTCTCGCACTGAAGACACGTTTAAGTGTTTCACTGTTCATGTAACCGCTAGTACTAGAGTGCATTGAATAAACCTTATTCCCAAATTCTTCCTTCAATCAACGAAAGAGTTTCTAGCCTTGGAGAAAATCCTACCGCAATTAAATAATTCAAAAATAAATTTACTGGCCACAAAACTTTACCAGAAACATAAATCTAACCGCGTAATAAGATAGCAAACGAGTTAAAGTAGAAAAAGAAACCTCTTCTCAAATGCCAAAATTAGTCATAACATAACTCAATTACAAGTTATAACGAGTGTCACACCTTCTACCAGTAAATAAATTTGGTTTGGATTAAAGTTAAAGGGCCTTGAAACTCCACACATCAATAGAACAACGAAATCGATGCGAGAGAATCTTTAACAAGGCAAAATCGAAAAAGAGGATTCAGATTTCAGTTGCCGGAGTTGAGTTTCGCCGGCGATGGTAGTTTCATGATTTTGAAGCAGAGGGAAGGTGAAGAAACGAAATAAAAAAGAGTTAAAAATAATTGATGATTTCGAGTTACCGTAAAAGTTTCAGATGAAAATAATAATAATAAAAATTAAAGAGAATATGCGAAAACGGTTTGGTTGGGAAAAAGGAGGGAGAAGTAGAAACGGTTGTTTTCGCGCCACCTACTTTTAATTGTTCTTGCCTCTTGCACCTTATGCCGTAATTATTGTTATCGTTTTCTTTTTTTAATATTTTTTATGTAACTAGCCTTTATTATTTTAATATTAAAACTAATTGCATGTTATATTATACCCAATTGCTTACAATGTTAACCATCTTAAGAATGCTTGGTCACTTGGGTTTCATTGGATATATACAATGATATTAAATATTACTCGTGACAATTTCAGCATATTTCGGTGCATTATGCCGTCTAGGTATTTTTCATGTTTAAAACGGATGTGATATATAATTTGTTATGTTTATTAATGCTATTATCATTTAGTATGATGTTTCCTTTTGTTTCTTTATGAAATAAAACTGTAGCTTATCACCAAATAAAACGGTCACCTATTTTACTAAATGCAAAAGAAGTATTATTAATTGTCCTCATAAAATTTCCACTTTTACTTTTAAAGTTTCTTTTATGAAATGATCCAAATAAAAATAAGCATATAAATTATATATATTTATTTGCAACGGATGTAGAATGATACTTTTGTATGAAAATGAGAATTATTATTCTAAACTGTCGAATTAAAATAAATAAATAAATTGTGTTTAAAACATGCATTAAAATATATCTTGATCTCTCACTTATCAAATTAATTTTCTAAATTATGTTGAGAATGATAGTTTTCATTCTTACGTAATAATATCATTCTCACATTTAAAGCATGTGGGCGTACACACACACACACACATATATATATATATATATATATAT